GTAAATAATAATGCAATAATACTATGAAAATAATGTAATGATGATAATAATAGTATGGCTATTCCTCCCCGCAGCTGCCCCAAGGCATGAGCGTGGCATCCGGGGTCCGGGTGGGGAACGCGTTGGGGGCCGGAGATGTGGCGCAAGCCAAGACATCCTGCATCGCGGGCCTCCTCTGCTCAGGTGCGCCTGTCTCTTTAAGGTGGGGCGGGGCTTCCTCCCAGAGCGGCCTGTCCTTAAAGGCACAGCGTCCCATAAACACCTTCTGTAGCGGAAACCAGGGAAGGTGTCCACACTGAGCGTGTTCCCTTTCTGTTCCTTTTCTCCGAAGGTGTCTTTGCGGTGGTCTTTGCGGGACTCTTGGCGGCTATCAGAAACGTGGTGGCTTACATTTTCACCAGCGACAAGTGCGTATGACCCAACGTCATAATTGGACCAAAGTTGATACTAATTTGCACACTTGGTTACACGCTCAGTCGTGCATTTGATTGTGAACTCAAGCACCCAATCTCCATTTACACTAATTTCATACTTAATCATGTATTCACTAGTGCCTTCACTAGTGCATTGAGTTGCACACTCATCACTGCACCTACATTGACATTCATTTGCACACTCAGTAGTGTATTCACTTGGGTTGCATAGTTGTCATTGGACCTGAATTGACATTCATTTGCACACTCAGTAGTGTATCCACTAGTGCCTTCATTTGTGCCTTGGGTTGCACAGTCATCATTGGACCTGTATTGACATTCATTTGCACACTCGGTAGTGTATCCACTAGCGTCTTCACTTGTGCCTTGGGTTGCACACTCATCATTGACCTGCATTGACATTCATTTGCACACTCGGTAGTGCATTCACTAGCGTCTTCACTTGTGCTTTGGGTTGCACACTCATCATTGGACCTGCATTGACATTCATTTGCACACTCGGTAGTGTATTCACTAGTGTCTTCACTTGTGCCTTGGGTTGCACACTCATCATTGGACCTGCATTTACATTCATTTGCACACTCGTAGTGTATTCACTAGCGTCTTCACTTGTGCCTTGGGTTGCACACTCATCATTGGACCTGCATTTACATTCATTTGCACACTCGGTAGTGTATTCACTAGCGTCTTCACTTGTGCCTTGGGTTGCACACTCATCATTGGACCTGAATTGACATTCATTTGCACACTCAGTAGTGTATCCACTAGTGCCTTCACTTGTGCTTTGGGTTGCACACTCATCATTGGACCTGTATTGACATTCATTTGCACACTCGGTAGTGTATCCACTAGCGTCTTCACTTGTGCCTTGGGTTGCACACTCATCATTGGACCTGCATTGACATTCATTTGCACACTCGGTAGTGCATTCACTAGCGTCTTCACTTGTGCTTTGGGTTGCACACTTATCATTGGACCTGCATTGACATTCATTTGCACACTCGGTAGTGCATTCACTAGCGTCTTCACTTGTGCTTTGGGTTGCACACTCATCATTGGACCTGCATTGACATTCATTTGCACACTCGGTAGTGTATTCACTAGTGTCTTCACTTGTGCCTTTGGGTTGCACACTCATCATTGGACCTGCATTTACATTCATTTGCACACTCAGTAGTGTATCCACTAGTGCCTTCACTTGTGCTTTGGGTTGCACACTCATCATTGGACCTGTATTGACATTCATTTGCACACTCGGTAGTGTATCCACTAGCGTCTTCACTTGTGCCTTGGGTTGCACACTCATCATTGGACCTGTATTGACATTCATTTGCACACTCGGTAGTGTATCCACTAGCGTCTTCACTTGTGCCTTGGGTTGCACACTCATCATTGGACCTGCATTGACATTCATTTGCACACTCGGTAGTGCATTCACTAGCGTCTTCTCTTGTGCTTTGGGTTGCACACTTATCATTGGACCTGCATTGACATTCATTTGCACACTCGGTAGTGTATTCACTAGTGCCTTCACTTGTGCCTTGAGTTGCACACTGATCATTGGACATTCATTTGCACACTTGTGTATCCACTTGTGCATTGAGTCGCACATTTATTGGACCCACAGCGACATTCATTTGCACACTCTAGTGTATTCACTAGTGCCTTCACTTGTGCATTGGGGCTCACACTCATTGGACCTAAAGCCACATTCATTTGCACACTTGGTTGCACACTCTAGTTGTGCATTTGATTGTGAAGCCAGTCTCCTGATCTGCATTTACATTCATTCACACACTCAGTCATGTGTTCACTAATGCACTTGCTTGTGCATTTGGTCACACACTCACCACTGGATCCGCATTTACACAGATTATGCTGGGAATTGTCTATAATGGGAACGGGTTTTGACGCCACCTAGTGTTTGGTGTGGGAATTGCTCAGGGTTTCCACATTTCAACCATCGTCTGTTTCGAATCCCCTGACTGTTTGTCACACGTTTTCCACCCACGTTTTCTGCCTTGTCCTCCCAGAGAGATTGTGGCCTTGGTCTCCAAAGTCATGATGATCTTCGCTCCCTTCCACCTCTTTGACGCCATGGCCGTAAGTGACCCCCGCCCCCCAAGAGACGGGCACAGATCCCTTTGAGGGCAAGTTTCTAGTCCTCAAGGCCCAAAACCAATCCCTTTCTCCCCGCAAATACCATTCCAGGCCACCTGTGGAGGGGTGTTGAGAGGCGCCGGGAAGCAAAAGATCGGGGCCATCGCCAACGCGGTCGGATACTACGTGGTCGGCCTCCCCATCGGCATCACCCTCATGTTCAAATACGGCCTGGGAGTCATGGGTGAGTCGCTGGCCCTCCATCGGGAGGGATCGCGGGTGAGGTTGTGACCTCCTGGCAGAATGGGAGTCAGGCTGGATGGCCTTTAGGGGCCCCCTCCATCTTCGTGGGCTCTGTCAGGACATAATGGGAGAGGCTGGATGGCCCTCTGTCGGGAGGGGTCGGGTGGCCTCTTCAGGGTTGGCAGAGCAGGGTTGGATTGGGTGGCCCTTCAGGTCCCAGTTCCATGAATCCAATAATAATAATAATAATAATAATAATAGGACTTCTATCTTGCTTCCTGGCAGAATGGGGTTGGACTGATTGGCCTTGAGAGCTCCCTTCCAACTCTAGCATTCTATGATTGTTGTTATTATTGTTATCAAGCAGGGTGGCCATCTGTTGGGAGGGAATGGATTGTGTCTTCCTTTATGGCAGACAGAATGGAATAGAACTGGATGGCCTTGAGGGCTCCCTTCCAACTCTAGCATTATATGATTGTTGTTATTATTATTGTTACTGAGCAGAGTCTGGGTGGCCATCTGTCGGGAGGGATCGGATTGTGTCTTCCTTTATGGTTCCCTTCCAATTCTAGCATTCTATTGTTGCTGTTATTATTATTATTATTATTATTATTATTATTATTATTATTATTATTGTGATTAAGCAGAATCTGGGTAGCCATCTGTCGGGAGGTATCGGATTGTGTCTTCCTTCATGGTGGAATTCAAAAGGACTGGATGGCCTTGAGGGCTCCCTTCCAACTCTAGCATTCTATTGTTGTTATTGTTATTATTGTTATCAAGCAGGGTGGCCATCTGTTGGGAGGGATCGGATTGTGTCTTCCTTTATGGCAGAATGGAATAGAATGCGTGACCTTGTGGGCTCCCTTCTAACTCCAGCATTCTATGATTGTTGTTGTTATTATTGTTATTGAGCAGAGTCTGCGTGGCCATCTGTCAGGAGGGATCGGATGGTGTCTTCCTTTATGGTGGAATGGAATAGGACTAGAACTGGATGTCCTTGAGGGCTCCCTTCCAACTCTAGCATTCTGTTGTTGTTATTATTATTACTATTACTATTATTATTATTGTGATTAAGCAGAATCTGGGTGCCCATCTGTTGGGAGGGATCGGATTGTGTCTTCCTTCATGGTGGAATGGAATAGGACTGGAGGACTTCCTTCCAACTCTAGCATTCTATGATGTTGTTATTGTTGTGAAGCAGAGTCTGGGTGGCCATCTGTCAGGAGGGATCGATGGTACCTTTTGGAATAGGACTGGAGGACCTTCCAACTCTAGGATTCCATGGCGATACAAACAGAGTCTGGGCGGCCCTCTGTGGGGAGGGTTTGGGTGGCGGAATGGGGTTGGGCTGGATGGCCTTGGGGGTCACCTCTCCCTTGGGATGATGGGGCTCCCACTGAGCTCCCCTTTCTGTCCCTCCTCCCTCCAGGGCTCTGGACCGGGCTGATCGTGTGCATCTCCTTGCAGGCCGCTTCCTTCCTGGTGGTCGTCCTGCGCATGGATTGGAAGAAAGCCGCCGAAGAGGCGCGTCCCTTTCCCTTCTCCGCTCTGGAAGAGCCATGCATTGGCTTTGCGTGGCCCATGAGGACTAGCGCCTTGCATCTGACGCTCCTTTGTTTTGTTGTTATACTTCCAGGCCCAGATCCGGGCGGGATTGGGGGTCCGGCTCCAGGCCGAGGTGGAGGACGAGGCGGCAGCGGTGGCGGCGGGTGGCAAAGCGGTGCCTTTAGGTACTTTTCAATGTCCTTCTCGGTTTTAGGGAGCGATGGGAGCTATTCCACAGTGGAAATGCTGCTTGGAAACCCCTGGCCATCTGTTGGGAAGGTTTTGATGGTGCCTTTCCTTCCTGGCGGAAGAAGGCTGGACTGGATGACCTCTGGGGGTCCCTTCCAACACAATGAATTTACTACTACTACCAATAATGATGATGATAATAATAGATAATAATACAATAGTAATTCTATCTTGTTGGCAGAAGGGGTTGGACTGACTGGATGGCTTTTGGGGGTCCCTCCCAACTCTATGTGTCTAATAATAATAATAATAATAATAATAATTATTATTATTATTATTCCATGTTCCTAGGAGAAGGGGGTTGGACTGGATGACTTCTGGGGGTCCCTTCCAACACTATGAATCTTCTACTACTACTAATAATAATAGTAATAATAATAGTAATAATAATGACAATAATAGATAATAATCTATATAAATAAAAAGGTTAGCAGAATGGGGTTGGACTGGATGGCCTTTGGGGGTCCCTTCCAACTCTTATGAATTTACTACTAGTAATAATAATAATAATGATAATAATAGATAATAATACAATAGTAATTCTGTCTTGCTGGCAGAAGGGGTTTGGACTGACTGGATGGCCTTTGGGGGTCCCTCCCAACTCTATGTGTCCAATAATAATAATAATGATAATGTTGTTGTTTTGGGGGGTTGACTGGGTGGCCTTTGAGGTTCCTTCCAACTCTATAATGTATAATAATAATAATGTAATTATAGAATATCATTATATAATAATAATAATTTTGTTGTGTTTGGGGGTTGATTGGATGGCCTTTGGGGTTCCTTCCAACTGTATAAATGTAATAATAATAATAATGTAATGATTATAGAATATCATTAAATAATAATAATAATAATAATAATAATAATAATAATAATAATATTGTTGTGTTTGGGGGTTGACTGGATGGCCTTTGGGGTTCCTTCCACCTCTATAAGTCTAATAATAATAATAATAATAATGTAATGATTATAGAATATCATTATTATATAGTAATAATAATAATAATAATAATAATGTAATGATTATAGAATATCATTATTATATAGTAATAATAATAATAATGTAATGATTATAGAATATCATTATTATATAGTAATAATAATAATAATGTAATGATTATAGAATATCATTATATATTATTAATAATAATGTAATGATTATAGAATATCATTGTTATATAATAATAATAATGTTGTTGTGTTTCAAATAATAATAATAATATGGATTATAATATAATAGTAATTCTGCTTAGGAGAATGGGGTTGGGCTGGATGGCCTTTGGGGGGCCCTTGCCCCCGCATTCTCTGGTGATTCTCCTCCTTTGCAGCCTACCTGGCCACTGAAACGAGTGTCCCAAACGGCGCCATCTTCGTGGGCCTGAGTCCCGATGACGGGGGTGCTCCGTCCGCACACCAGCTGCTCCCCCCCGAGGATCTACCGGATTTTGCCGTTCTGTCCGGGAAGCAGCTCTTGGTCCGGCGGGGGCTGGCCGTGGCCTTGGCCGTGGGCCTTTTGGTCACAGGGGTCCTCACCCGCTTCCTGCTGGACGGCCGGTAGGAGGAGGAGGAGGAGGAGGAGAGATCCGGCTCCGGTCGGAGAAGATCCCGTCAGGTTCTTTGGATCGCAAGGAGGGATGACCAACAAGCCACAGAGATCCAGGTGGGGGCTTCCGGGATCACCCAGGATTCTTTGGCCAGAACCTTGTTGATGGGATCCAACAAGAAGAAATCTCAGTATTTCCTCCTTCCATTGACGGGATCCTTCTGTTGAGGAGATCTTTCAGTTGATGGGACCCTTCTGTTGAAGAGATCCTTCCATTCATGGGATCCGGCAAGAAGAAATCTCAATATTTCCTCCTTCCATTGACGGGATCCTTCTGTTGATGGGCTCTCTCCCCCGCGCCCCCCCCCCCAATTTTGTAATTCTTTTTTCAGGGTTTTTACAAATAAAAATGATTTTCTGACAGTTGTGAATGATGGATGGCTTTGAATGGCAGAAATAATAATAATTATAATAATAATAATAATTGTTAATTTTATTTGATTCATAATGTAAATATTATGATTAATAATTTTATGTATTATTATTTGAAACACAATATTATTATTTTTTGAAACACAAGATTATTATTAATATTTGAAACAGAACAAGATTATTATTATTTGAAACAATATTATTATTTGAAACAATATTATTAATATTTGAAACACAACAAGATTATTATTATTATTTGAAACAAGATGATTGTTATTATTATTTCAAACACAAGATTATTATTATTTCAAACACAAGATGATGATGATTATTTCAAACGATGATTATTATTATTTCAAAGACAAGATTATTATTATTATTATTATTATTTCAAAGACATTATTATTATTATTATTTCAAAGACAAGATTATTATTATTATTATTATTATTATTTCAAAGACAAGATGATGATTATTATTATTATTATTTCAAACACAAGATGATGATTATTATTTGAAACAAGATGATTGTTATTATTATTTCAAACACAAGATTATTATTATTTCAAACACAAGATGATGATTATTTCAAACAAGATGATTATTATTATTTCAAAGACAAGATTATTATTATTATTATTATTATTATTTCAAAGACAAGATTATTATTATTATTATTATTATTATTTCAAAGACAAGATGATGATGATGATTATTATTATTTCAAACACAAGATGATGATGATTATTTGAAACAAGATGATTGTTATTATTTCAAAGACAAGATTATTATTATTATTATTATTATTATTATTATTTCAAAGACAAGATGATGATGATTATTATTATTTCAAAGACAAGATGATGATGATGATTATTATTATTTCAAAGACAAGATTATTATTATTATTATTTCAAAGACAAGATGATTATTATTATTATTATTTCAAAGACAAGATGATTATTATTATTATTATTATTATTTCAAACACAAGATGATGATGATTATTTCAAACAAGATGATGATTATTATTTCAAAGACAAGATTATTATTATTATTATTATTATTTCAAACATTATTATTATTTTTTCAAATACAATATTGTTACTATTTCACACACAACAAGATTATTATTAGTAGTTCAAACACAAAATTATTATTTGAAACACATTATTATTATTATTATTAGAAACAATATTATATTATTTGAAACACATTATTATTATTATTATTATTATTATTATTATTATTATTATTATTATTATTATTATTAGAAACATGACAAGCTCATTCTGCTGGCTGTTGCAATAATAATAATAATAATACTAATAATAATGAGAAACATCATTCCAAAACTGGAAGTCCTTTCTGACTCCGGGCATTTTGGCTCAAGAGGAGCGCCATCACGATTTAGCCCTAGATTTCCAATCAGTTCAGCCTTGTAAAACAGGAATGAGAAACTCTGCAAAGACAAGGAGGCAGGCAGGCCTAGTGGGTGTGGCTTGCTCAGAAGGGAGGCGGGCCTCTCAGTGAGCTGGGCGAGGGATTGGCGGGCGAGGCCTTGGGGGGCGGAGCCTGGAAAGGAGGCGGAGCTCTCTTCAAGCCTTTGATTGGCTGTTGGGGGCGGGGGGCGTGGCCTTCTCAGTCGAGGGCCTGGGAGAGGAGGAGGGGCGGGGCCTAGAAAGAAGTTTGCGGAGAGAGAAAGAGGAGGGGCTTTCTTCAAGCACTTCATTGGCTGTTGTGAACGTGGGGGGCGTGGCCTTCTCAGTCAAGAGGCCCTGGGAGGTAACTAGAAGGCGGGGCCTCAGTGCGTGGGCGTGGCCTTAAGAGTGAGGGGCGGGCCCGGAAAGCAGAGGGGGGTTGGGGTCTTTTCCTTCTTAGGGAGGGAGAAGAGGAGGAGCTCTTCAAGTTCTTGATTGACTGGAGCGGTGGGAGGGGCGGGGCCCTCAATAAGGGGCGGGGCCTTGTAATCATGAGGGAGGGAGAAGAGGAGGAGGTCTTCAAGTCCTTGATTGGCTGGAGTGGTCGGAGGGGGCGTGGCCTTCTCAGCCAAGCGGGCCTGGGGAGAGGAGGGGCGGGGCCTTCGATGGGGGGCGGGGCATTGTCCTTATGAGGGAGGGAGAAGAGGAGGAGGTCTTCAAGTCCTTGATTGGCTGGAGTGGTCGGAGGGGGCGTGGCCTTCTCAGCCAAGCGGGCCTGGGGAGAGGAGGGGCGGGGCCTTAGATGGGGGGCGGGGCATTGTCCTTATTAGGGAGGGAAAGGCGGAGCTCTTCAAGTCCTTGATTGGCTGGAGTGGTCGGAGGGGGCGTGGCCTTCTCAGCCAAGCGGGCCTGGGGAGAGGAGGGGCGGGGCTCTCATTGGGGGGCGGGGCCTTGTCCTTATTAGGGAGGGAAAGGCGGAGCTCTTCAAGTCCTTGATTGGCTGGAGTGGTCGGAGGGGGCGTGGCCTTCTCAGCTAAGCGGGCCTGGGGAGAGGAGGGGCGGGGCCTTCGATGGGGGGCGGGGCATTGTCCTTATTAGGGAGGGAAAGGCGGAGCTCTTCAAGTCCTTGATTGGCTGGAGTGGTCGGAGGGGGCGTGGCCTTCTCAGCCAAGCGGGCCTGGGGAGAGGAGGGGCGGGGCCTTAGATGGGGGGCGGGGCATTGTCCTTATTAGGGAGGGAAAGGCGGAGCTCTTCAAGTCCTTGATTGGCTGGAGTGGTCGGAGGGGGCGTGGCCTTCTCAGCCAAGCGGGCCTGGGGAGAGGAGGGGCGGGGTTGTGGGCGGAGCCTTGTCCTAATAAGGGAGGGAGAGGCGGAGCTCTTCAAGTCCTTGATTGGCTGGAGTGGTCGGAGGGGGCGTGGCCTTCTCAGCTAAGCGGGCCTGGGGAGAGGAGGGGCGGGGCCTTCGATGGGGGGCGGGGCATTGTCCTTATTAGGGAGGGAAAGGCGGAGCTCTTCAAGTCCTTGATTGGCTGGAGTGGTCGGAGGGGGCGTGGCCTTCTCAGCTAAGCGGGCCTGGGGAGAGGAGGGGCGGGGCCTTCGATGGGGGGCGGGGCATTGTCCTTATTAGGGAGGGAAAGGCGGAGCTCTTCAAGTCCTTGATTGGCTGGAGTGGTCGGAGGGGGCGTGGCCTTCTCAGCTAAGCGGGCCTGGGGAGAGGAGGGGCGGGGCCTTAGATGGGGGGCGGGGCATTGTCCTTATTAGGGAGGGAAAGGCGGAGCTCTTCAAGTCCTTGATTGGCTGGAGTGGTCGGAGGGGGCGTGGCCTTCTCAGCCAAGCGGGCCTGGGGAGAGGAGGGGCGGGGCCTTCGATGGGGGGCGGGGCATTGTCCTTATTAGGGAGGGAAAGGCGGAGCTCTTCAAGTCCTTGATTGGCTGGAGTGGTCGGAGGGGGCGTGGCCTTCTCAGCCAAGCGGGCCTGGGGAGAGGAGGGGCGGGGCCTTCATTGGGGGGCGGGGCCTTGTCCTTATGAAGGAGGGAGAAGAGGAGGAGGTCTTCAAGTCCTTGATTGGCTGGAGTGGTCGGAGGGGGCGTGGCCTTCTCAGCCAAGCGGGCCTGGGGAGAGGAGGGGCGGGACCTCAATGCGTGGGCGGGGCCTTGAAGAGTGAGAGGGCGGGCCTGGAAAGCAGAGTGAGCTTGGGGAGAAGGAGGGGGGCGGAGCTTTCTTCGAGTTCATGATTGGCTGGAGTGGTCGGAGGGGCGGGGCCAGGGAAAGCGAGAAAGAGGAGGCGTTTCCTTCAATCCAGGGGGTGGAGCTTTCTTCGAGTCCTTGATTTGCTGAAGTGGCCGGAGGGGCGTGGCCTTCTCAGCCAAGCGGGTCTGGGGAGCGGAGGGGCGGGGCTTTCGGTGGGGGCGGAGCCTTGTCCTAATAAGGGAGGGAGAGGCGGAGTACTTCAAGCCCTTGATTGGCTGGAGTGGTCGGAGGGGGCGTGGCCTTGTCAGCCAAGCGGGCTTGGGGATAGAAGGGGCGTGGCTTGGAAAGGCGAGCAAGAGGAGGAGCTTCCTTCAGTCCCGGTTGGTGGAGCGTCCCCGGATTGGTGGAGAGCGGGCGATGCGGGGCGGAGCCTGAGGCGAGGTTTGAAAAGGGGTTGCGGTGCGAGGCGGAGCTCCATTCGGGGCCCGGCGTGCGTGCCGAGGGCATGTCTGCGCCGCCTTTGCCTTCGCCTCCGTGTCCGCTGACGGAGCTGCTGGGCGAGTCTCTCTCTGCGCCGGATGGCTCTGCGGTGCCTACGGCCTCTCTCCGGGCGCGCGGGGTCTCCTTGGTGGGCCTCTACTTCGCTGGCGGGGGAGCCGGGCCCAGTGGCGGCGGTGGCGGTGGCAGTGGGGCCAGTGGGCCGGGCCCGCTCTCTGCCAGCCTGCCGTCCTTCTACGCCCGCTTCCGCGCCGCCTCCCCGCCCGAGCAGGCCCATCGCCTGGAGGTGGTGCTCATCTCGGCCGAGCAGGACCAGGCGCGGTGGAGCCAGGCCCTGCGCGCCGGACCAGGGCTCGCCCTACCCTTCGCCGACAAGCGCAGAAAGGTAACGGGAACGTGGGGAGGCCCTGACACGTGTCAAGAGTCAGGGAGCGCTTCCCCCCCCTGTCTCCACCTCATGTCACAGGTGGATGGCTGCCTCCCCTTCTGATCCCCTCCCTCAGGAAATAATTAAGGAATATTAGATTAATAGTCCTGTGTATTAATACAACAATAACATCATAATATCATCATAATATTAGTCTAGCGACATAATATCTTCCCTTGTCATGTTCCCCATCATCTCTCTGATTTTATTTGTTATTATTTCCCTTTATTATAATATCTTATACTTATTATATTGCATTATCATTATATTATTTCCCTTTATTATAATATATTTATTATATTATTATATCATATTATTTCCCTTTATTATATTATTATATCATATTATTTCCCTTTATTATCTTATGTTTATGATATTATTATATTACATTATTTCCCTTTATTATAATATCTTATATTTATTATATTATTATATTACAATATTTCCCTTTATTATAATCTTATATTTATTATATTATTATATTACATTATTTCCCTTTATTATAATATCTTATATTTATTATATTATTATATTACAATATTTCCCTTTATTATAATATATTTATTGTATTAAATTATCATCATATTATTTCCCTTTATTATCTTATATTTATGATATTATTATATTACATTATTTCCCCTTATTATAATGTCTTATGTTTATGATATTATTATATTACAATATTTCCCCTTATTATAATATCTTATATTTATTATATTATTATATTACATTATTTCCCTTTATTATAATATCTTATACTTATTGTATTAAATTATTATTATATTATTTCCCTTTATTATCTTATATTTATTATATTATTATATCATGTTATTTCCCTTTATTATAATATTTTATATTTATTATATTATTATATTACATTATTTCCTTTTATTATAATATCTTATATTTATTATATTATATTATTATTATATTATTTCCCTTTATTATATTATCTTAGATTTATTATATTAAAATATTATTATGTTATCTCCCTTTGGGGAGATGGTGGTGGGGTATAAATAAAGTTTATTATTAGTATTATTATCGTATTATAATATAATATATTGCATTATAATATATTTATACAGACACACAATACCTAATATAATAGTATTACCCTATGTTATAATAATATAATAAAGGGAAATAATATAATATAATTATAATATAATAAATATAAGATATTATAATGAAGGGAAATTATGTTATAATATAATAAATCTAAGATAATATAATAAAAGGAAATCATGTGATATAATAATATAATATAACAAAAAAAATAGTATAGTAAAAAATAGTCCAGGGACATAATATCTTCCCTTGTCGTGTTCCCCATCATCTCTCTTTATGTGTGTGTGGATATTATAATATAGTGTAATACTATTGTACTATGTATTTATAATATATTATATTATTATATGATGATGATGATGATAATAATAATAAACTTTATTTATACCCCGCCACCATCTCCCCCAAGGGAGATAATATGATATAATAATATAATATAATAAATATGAGATAATATAATAAGGGGAAATAATGTAAAATAATAATATAATATAATAAATATAGGATAATATAATAAAGGGAAATAATGTAATATAATAATATAATATAATAAATGTAAGATAATAAAGGAAATAATGTAATATTATAATATAATATAATAAAGGGAAATAATGTAACATAATATAAGATAATATAATAAGTATAAGAATATAATAAAGGGAAATAATGTAATATAATAATATAATATAATAAATATAGGATAATATAATAAAGGGAAATAATGTAAAATAATAATAATAATAATAATAATAATAATAATAATAATAATAATAATAATATTGTCGAAGGCTTTCATGGCCGTAATCACTGGGTTGTTGCAGTTTTTTTCAGGCTATAGACCATGCCATATAGCCCGAAAAAACCAACAACAACAACCCAATAATAATAATAATATAAGGTAAGATAATATAATAAAGGGAAAATGTAATACAATAATATAAGATATATAATAAATATAAGATAATATAATAAAGGGAAATGATGTAATATAATAATTATATAATAAATATACAATAATATAATAAAGGGAAACAAGCGTGGGAAGATGAGCCCTAAGGGGAACATGGGGAGACCCAGACACGTGTCAACAAACAGCGCTCCCCCCCATTGAGTTATCACCTCATGTTATTCGATCGCTATGATCCCTTCTGATACCATCATACAATATCATGAAATAATGGAATATTATATTAATAGTATTATATATTAATATAACAATAACATCATAATATAATATATTAGCCTTGTAACATAATATCTTCCCTCTTTATGTGTGTGTGTGTTATAAGATAATATATAATGTTATAATGTAATATAATATTAATATGATATATATGTTTGATTTTATTAGGTTGTTTTATATTATTTTATTGTTATTTTATATATTTTGTTGTGATTTATTTTCTTGTCTATCTTGTGTTTAATCATGTTGTATTGTTTTGGGCCTGGCTTCATGTTTGCTTTGCGGAGATGGTGGCGGGGTATAAATAAAGTTTTATTATTGTTTTATTATGTTTATTTTTTATTATCATTAATAATAATAATATTTTTATTATGTTTATTTTATTTGTTATTTTATATATTTTGTTTGATGTATTTTTGTTGTTTTGTATCTAATTATGTTGTATTATTTTTGGGCTTGGCCTCATGTTAACTGCCCCAAGTCCCTTTGCGGAGATGGTGGTGGGTTATAAATAAAGTTTATTCTTATTAATATCATGTAATCAATCATCTATCTGTAGGTGTGTGTGTGTGTATGTATATAATGTAATATAAATATTACTATATTGTAATGTAATCAATCATAGCTCTGCGTATATGCATTTTATGTAATATTATATAATAATGTAATATTTTATAATATTGATATATATAACAATTTATTAGTTAATATAATATATTAATATATTATAATGTAATCAATCATATATCTCTTTCTATGTATGTCATATTATATAATATAATAATATTTTGTAATATTGGTATATAATTTAATACAGCAATATTTTAGATAATATAATATAATGTAATCAATCATATCTATGTGTATATCTGTATGTAATATTATATCATGTAATATTATTTTACCATATTAATATATAATTTAATATAACAATATATTATATATTAATATATTATAATGTATGTATGCCTGTGAGTGGGTATATATATATATATTTATATCCTGCCAATCTCTCCCCAAAGGGGACTCAGCGCGCCTTACAAGATATACGTACTATATCTTATAATTTTTGCATAGCACAATATTTGTATTACAGATTATTATATTGTACTATACCGCTATGCTGCTATCTTATTAGTAATATTACACCTAATATAAAATATATAATTATATTTTATATTGTATTATAACTAGTATAATATTATGATCAATATTATATGTACATGCAATATATTATAATTACTAGCATTGCACAATATTAGTATTATATAGTACTACACTGTACTTATACCACTATACTGCAATATTATTAGTAATATTGCATGTAATATATGACATACTGTTATCCTATTGTAATATTATTAGTATTGCATTACATTATAAAATTATCAATATCGGCATCAAAAATATTATGAAATGAGCATATCAGAGTGTTTTCTACAAAAAGCATGTATTAAAATGCACAGGACAAAGGGGGAAATATAGTGAACACAAGCTGTGAGTTTAAAATACATACATATTATATATATGCATATGGACATGCACGCACACACACACACACAAGCATACACTCCGTATACATACACTGTGTTGTTATATATAAATATATATCTGCATACACTATATAAACATGTTTCATATATATATATATATATATATATATTATATGTTTAATGTATGTGCATATATATATGTGTGCGTGCGCACACACACACATACATAGTATACATACACTATGTTATTATATATAAATATTATATACGTACACTATATAAACATGTTTCATATATATATATATATATATATATATATATATATATGTTTATACCCATTATATAAACACACACGTGTGTGTATATAATAATAGTAATAATTATGTAATAGTAATAATTATTATGTATCTTATAATGTGTAATAATTATGTATATAATAATAATAATAATATATTTTTTACTCATTAGTTCAGGGTGGGGCACTGCTTAGTTAAAATCTAAAATCCTTAAGAGCACATACTAAAACATACACATATTAAAATGCATATATACACACACACATACATACAACTAATATATGGAATGTCATACCGTATGTTGGGATTTTTAATCTATATTGTACCTTTCCGCATTTTTTAAAAACGGGTCCTCACCAAGAAGCATCTGTTGGAAAGCTTGTCGGGGATGAGACTCCTTTTTTTGGAGTCTGAGCTCCATAGAAAACACTGGATTTCTAAATGTAATCTTTCTCTAAAGACGCTGACCGTGTTGAGATGCCTATTATCATCGCTTGAGGGGATTCGTATGCCACTTTTGCATATTCTAGAAACTCTTCATTCGCTCGGTTTGCGTGGCTTTAATAGACCCCTATTGTGCTTGTGTTTGTTTTACCAAAACAGCCATGGATTTCTTGCTTTCGGGGGTATTCGAAACCGTCATTTATATTCCTATAACGGATTCCCGTCCCGTCGTTTTTGTCTCCAAACAAGTGTTTCACTTCCGTAAACGGCGATGGTATATTTCTGTAGAATAGGTTTCTTATTTCAGTGTTCTGGGCATTGGGATGAGTGCATTTATCTTTCTTTTGGAGGGATTTATGGCCTTTGGAGGGATTTATAGCACAATGGAGAAAGGCTGCAGCCCCGTACGTTTCGAGACAAAACATGGATTGTGCTGCGGTTATGGTCCAGCCTTCGTTTCCTCCTCTGCAC